AATGGGAAAAATTCAATTATGTACCAGGAGGTGAATTTTTGAAATGTTAAGTTTGGAATAGTAACAAACTGACAAAAAAATTTGTCAAACTGCAAGTGAGGAAAAATCCTCAATAACTTACTGTCATGTAAAGAAATGTTTGAAATGTACATTTCAAAATAAATCTTTTAATATTTGAAATAGAAGAAAGGGGACTTCGATTGAAGTGGGGATTAGACTAAAAGTAATGCAATTTCTGGAAATGCCAACTCGTGGTCTTTTCTTGCTTAAAGCTGCATTATGTAACATTAGGATGATACAAAGAGTCTATTTTCTGGTTTTCTTTGACAAGTAAGTTGATCAACCCTACTCCATTGCAAATAAGTGTCATTCAGGAATTCAAAGTGGAGGTGCCAAAATATGATGCTGATTGAGAGTGTGTTTAAAAGCTGAAATCACAGCTTTCAGCCAGGTTTGTTTACATTCTGGTAGTTTGTGGTGGCACCACAAACTGAGTGTGTGTTGTGGGGCTGTCATAGCACCAACCATAAATGTCAGCAGTGTGAGATAATTGCACAAAAATGTTGAAAAGTTGATGTTAATTACAATCATACAAGGATTTTTTCAATCAAAATACTTGCAAAAATGTTACATAATGCCCCTTTAAGGTGTATCATTTATTTACCAAAATACAAACATGTAAAAGATGCTGCAAAGATATCACCTGAATGAACCGAGAAAGAGAGGGGAAACAAGGTTGTACATAACGCTATTCTAAAGTAAAGAACGGATGGAAATCAAGATATTACCTTCAGCAAAATGATGTCAATTTCCGAATACCGTGTATTATTGACTAGAACAGGAATAACTCTGTGAAAAAAGTACCAAAAGACCATAAAAAAGGTTAACAACAATATAATATATCCAACACAAATTGTGCCGCAGATGTCCTGATAAGCAAATACCCAGAATGTACGCCGTGAAACCTTTAAAATCAAATGCTGCGGTATAATCTAGCATCAAGAAATCTCAGAAGATGTACAAAGAAGTACAATATGCTACAAACTTGGTATGAATATGATGAGAATCCAAAAACTAGGTAAAGGAAACTGCACTTTTCAACTCTTTGAAGGATGAAAGAAACATTCTGGAACTGCCTGGCAAAACAAGTCGACCCTCCCCGACTAGTTGAGCTTTTTGAAAAGTCTGCCTGTTCCAAGTAAAAAGACAATGACATACACGTGTAAGGTCCCCCAGTACTCAAATAAAAGTTAGAGGACAGGACATTAAATCAGAAAAATCTGCAACATTTCTTTAAAGCTAAAATACGTAATGTTGTCATACAAAAGAACCAACATTTCCTTGATTCTATAGAAATTTGAATTTCTAAAAACTTTTCAATGTTTGTTTGCTTGTTTGTTTGTTTTGGATCTCCATTAGTGTGAATTTCACACTACTTTTCCTGGAGTCCGTAGCAATAATCAGGTTTACAAGTATTTGGACCATGATATTTTTTCTGTCTTCATTGTGACATTGTAAAATCAGAAAATAATTTGCCACCAGTTTCAGTCTGTTCTTCCTCCCATCCTTCAGAAGTGGTTGATAATGAGATGCGTAGCTGCTTGGATGCGAGCCCTGCTCCATTGCTAGCCCGTCAGCAGGTGCTGACAGGTGGTGCGATTGTTTACCTGTCCAGATACCCGGAGAGGACCTCCTTGCAGATGGGCTGCTCCGCTAGCGTGAGCCAGAACTCACACGCCTCCAGAGCTACCGTCTCGTCACCGTCCTGGGTTCGCAGCAGCATGTACTGAAAACAAAATATCACAGGTCAAGTTTAATCTTTCCCGTGTTAAAGGTACTGTAATTCACTTTATATTCACACAGCAAAACAGTACAATGCACCATGAAAAAATCTAAAATTCCAGTAGGTAAAGGTAGTCCCATATAGCCTTTTTCTGATGCCATTGTGGCAGTGGATTTTGCCACTCATGTTGCACACAAATTTTGCCTAATCCATTATCTTTGACAGGCAAAAATCAGTGTGTAAAGAGATAGACAGAGATGTCATTTAACTAAGCTTAGTCTACCAGCAAACAAAATTTGCCATTGAAACACAGGAAATAGCATTTCAGAGAGTAAGATTTCAAAATTTCTCAAACTAGAGAAGGATTTGGAACTCACCTCGACGATGTTGTGCATGTGGGGGATTAACCTGTCCATGCGCACTTCCTGTAACATCACCAGAGCTCGGCACACGTTCTTCCTCACCTCTGGGTCCTCATCATTCGCTAGGGCAAACAGGTTCTATGGAACAGGGAGGGCAGGGCAAGCTTGTTTGATTCAGATCTCAAATAGTTTTTTACATTTAGGCCACAGTGACTTAATTTTATGGATGAAGATCCCTAAACGGGCAAATGAAAAAAATTCAAGCCAAAAAAAACTGCTGCTAAACCACAGGAATACAAAGCTGGTACTGTGGATTTGCAGCAGTACATAGCGACTTTTACGACAAGCCGGCACATGCTGGCCATTTGCTGCATTTATGAGTTGGCGCTGTGCTGAGTTCCTGAGTTCCATGGAGCTGACTCTTCCATCGCCCACAATCATGACCTGTGTGTAGTTATGCTCCCAGTACTCCTATAGATTTTAAAATTGATTGTTGCTAAGAGATTGCTACTGACCCCTGACCCTTACAGTGTAATCTGATGAGTGAACCTTATCTGAAGGTGGGAGCCCAGTGAGATGTATAAAGGGAAACACACACATACAAACAAGCCGCAAACAATACTTCCATCCCTTGGGGAATAGACTGTAGGTAATGAATGGTTATCTTACCTCAATAAAAACGTCAATGTGAACCATCAGTGCCTGGGTTCTGCTAATGATGAACTGGTTTACACAAGCTATTGCATGGGACCTGGGGATAACATGGGACGGTACATTCAAACAGTCCAGACAAAACAGACATCAATACACTCAGTAGCCTATTCTTCATCCATGGAAATATATATTTCTTAGTACTTTATGGAAAGATGTATTTCTTAGTAATCTTACCTGAAAGTTTTGTTTTAATACAGCAAACACAGAACAGCAAATTTTGATTTTCAGACCTTTCTCTAAATCTAATGGAGTTGCAAATTCAATTTTATCATTGTTTTTAGCTATTATGCAAACTCAAGGTGTGCCAAAATGTTGATGCAAATCCTTCCAAAAGATAGCTCCGAAACACTAATGTTAAATTTGAGTGTTTACCTGATTTTGGCGCTTGTGTGTTTGAAGTACTGTAGGAACTTGGGGATCATGGTGTTGAGGGGTCGGTTCAGGGCGTCACAGTCCAGCAGTTCTGCTGAGTCCTCACATACCTTCTGCAGCGCTCCAAATGCACCCTGAAACAGACAACTTCCATCTCAACACACAACTTTTTTTTAATGGTTTGTTCACCCTTGGCTTGGATAGAAGCATTTATGGGCAGTGCTCAACAGGCCGTATTCAGCTATTTTTTTCTGTAATGTGCTAACTTAAACAATAGCCAGGGTTGTAACATAAAAATAACAGTCCTGGTTAATCATTGGTTTATAGCAACTGCAAGGTTCTAGCTACATGTAGAAGTCCTGATGGTGGAAAGAAGATGCTGGTGTACTCCTGTTTTGAATGACTGGAGGTTGTTGTCAGTGATCAGAGACTAGCACAGTGAGGACATGTTTTCCAGCAGAGAGACTGTTGCGAGTTGTGCGTCTGATTGTGTATGGTTGGGGAAGCATCTTTTTCAGGTCTGGTGGGCAGGTGGACATGTGCATTTGGAGATCAGGGAAGCAGTGGCCACCTGTCTGCCGGCTATGGGTGACAGGAGCACGTCGGCAGAACGTACTGCACCTGCACGAAACCCGTAATGTATTGTGCATAGCACTTCGGCAGAACGTCTCATGTAAGGTCGTATTGCGTATATAAGGTTAACATCCCATTTGTAGTTTCCAAATGTTAGGTCAGAAATGATGTCGTCTGCAACAGGCAAAATTCTGATGCAACGTTGACCAAACATCAAACAAAAACCGTGAAAAATTGGGTTCGCGCAGGTGCAGTACGTTCTGCCGACATGCTTGTGACAGGGGCTGAACCCTGGTCCTTACCTCACAGGTGTTGTAGTCGTTGGAGTCCAGTAAGGAGCAGAGGTGTGGCAGGAGCTCCGGCCAGTTCTGCAGCTCACCCTTTGACGCTATCGTGGTGATCAGGATTCCTATCGTTGCACGGATCAGAGGAGACGGGTCGCCTAGAGACAAACAGAATCACTACCTATTACACTGGCCACTTATGTTGCTATTGCACAACATCAGCTTCAAGTAAATTTGCTGTCTGGTGCTCTACTGAGTACCAGCAATCTGAAACAAGTTGCATGGAAGTAACAGCAAATTGAATAGTGGTCATTCCTTAGACCTAAGAAGAAAAATGTTCTGTTTCATGTTTCAGTTCTGAAAAAAATTAAGGTCGGTAGGAAGGGACTATCTTTTTTTTCCTTTCTTTTTTTATTAGACTTTGGCAATCTCCAGTGATCCAACTTATACAATAGAGTTTGACAAAGTAAAACTTGATTGAGAACACTAACATTGAGAAGTGCTACTGGTACATATTTTTTGGTACAATTTCTGAAGAACTTACCGATGTTGGCGAGACATTCTTTCTTCACAAAGTCAGTGACTTGAGCAGGAAAGTTGGTGTAATGTGCCTTCACATTGTTCTTAAGGATCAGTCCACTCAACGATCGGGTGGGCTCATCTGGAAACAAACAACAATCATCTTAAGGACCTGATAATCTTTCTTTCTCATCTTCAAAAATTGGATGAACATACTGATTTGCAAAGGTACAATATTTTCTATAGTGTCCCATGTTGATGCAAACAGAAACATCATATTTAAGTGTAACCTTAAACAATGATTAGAAGAAATTTATCCTGGTAATTGTAGTAAATTAGTGGTGTGCGTAAACATTTCACTTGAGGTAGGGAGACATAAATGCACACTATATGCTTCACTGGGCGGATATAAATAAAAATCAGCAGTTTAACCAACTAGAGAGTGATTGTGTATCCGTAATTTTTTTTTGCATCGGTACATTTTTGTTTCACATTTGTACATTTTGACAGAGGACCTAAAATATTTGTGTGTGGTTTGCTAAGCTTTGTTTACTACATGCAGATCAAACGCTGCCGAAGAATTTTGATTGCAGTTGAAATCTACAGACAGGATGTTATGATGAATGTACCTGGAAAGACTGTAAACAAGCCTAATTGGTAACAATGCCTGACATTCAGAATGCTCTTGAAAAGACATCCTTGCTTTTTAATCACCTAACACTAATGGACTGGAATGGCGCATGCAGCTTAATAACCTGCTACATCTTGGCTCATTTGACATTGAAACTCGACCTTGTCTCTCATGCATTCCAGGTACACTACATCAATGAATATACATGGCACTTCTAATACACGTATTTAGTGACACCATTTCTGCATGTAACCCAATCACTTAGCAATTAGCAGTAACGTGTGTAATTCTTTTGTGCAGCAAATCTATCAAATGGGGGAAGCTTCACTATCAAACCAGCCAGTATGAATAAAAGCACAAATATGTCAGTGCATAAGGTTTCCTTTCCAAAGTAGACTAAACTGACAGTAGGCACTGATAGGAATATTTTTTGCCAGTGTTAGCAATATTGCAGAATGTCAAAATTTTGTTCTGCAATTCAGAAAAACACAAGCCTCCATACTACAACCATTGTAACCTAATAATGCTTATATCTTTAAATTACTGGTACATCATAATGTAAAATATACAGTAAGGATGCATATCTAAACTCATTTTCAGGTTCAAGGTTTGAGATTTGGGTTTTGCTGAGGCCGACACCACAGAGCCCCTAGTCTGATTTTTTTTTCAGTCTGCAAAGTTGCAGGTTGCTTAATTTTTTTTCTGCAATATAATATTGAAAATATCTGTGCAAAATACAGACTGCAGGTGGGTATTTCTAACACTGCACAAACGCGTCAATGAATTATCAGTAAGGTTTCCTTCCCAAACTAGACAAGACTAATATACAGAAGGGCATCAGTTTTAAATCTTGCCCAGAAAAAAAGATCTGTCCGCTAGGTTACAGTTATAGATCCAGACAGGAGATTACAGCAAATGGTCTGGTCCAAACAGTCTGGTCAAATCCTAATGGCACACAAAAGGCCACCATGGACTTTGATTCTCCACTCATGGAAACTAAACAATGGAGGATTTCCCAATAATTTACCACAGACTCACATGCCAGGGAAGACCAGGACCTTCATACAAATAATCGGTACTGAAACACTGGATGTCTTAAAGTGCAGAAATTTTTCTTTCGCTGCCTGATTTTTAAAAGAAATTGGACCATAATTTAATTATCCACACCTACATTTCTGTTACACATGGTCCTTAAAATTTTTATTAGTACCTGTAATCTTTTTCACTTCTACTATTACAAAGTAACACATTAGCATACATCCATACTAGATGTTGACTGGCATTAAGGATTATTTTTAAAAGAAATTCTTAAAGAGAATGAATAAAAGAAAATAATACAAGTCAAACTCAGTCTTGGACATAAGCAGTACCCCAAAACTGACAGACAAGAGGAAGCTGTATCTGTTTACCACCAATAATAATTGAGGATGCTCCCAAATTTATTTACCAATTCTATCCTTGTACTGTGTACTTTTAATTTGTAGTGCCTGTAGGGCACACATACATGTGTCATCTGATAAAACATGATCGTCCTTTCTCAAAAATCCATATCCAGGCACACTGCTCCAGGCTAGATTCATCCTCATAGATTTCTACCTTGTGTGTGTACGTGATCCTAATTCAAATTTTCACGGTGCAATTTACTGAAAATAAAAACTACTGTTCTTCAATTACTTCCCACAACATTGTGAAAAAACCGAAACAATTTGTAACACTGTACTTCCTAATGGTAATATATTATCTCCTGAATTTTCTGTTGAGATTTTTGTTGTAAGTTAATTCAATGCTTTGTAACGGGGTCAGAATATTCATGGCGCCGCGTTCAAGCTTCATAGGTAATATACCAATCCATCTATCACTTCTAACATGCAGTCCACGAAATTGGGAGAACATCCATGATGATAAGCACCTTAGCAGTAAGACAATGAGAATACGGGTAGAATAAAATATTAACTACCTTGTTCTCATACATCTAATCTTCTCTAGTTATGGCTAAGATTTTTCAAATTTCAATTAAGCAGCTATTCTCTGCTTCATCAAGCCCAGGGATGAAAAAAAAGGAATTTTATAATGCTTTTAATAATACTGAGAAGGAATCAAATCTGAGATGATCTGCATACATTAATTTAAGTGTGACCCAGCTGTACCAATATCAGGGCTCGAAATACCAAAAACCATTGACATCACTTCTTTGATACTTCATACATGGCAACAGTCAATGCAGAAAATAAAATCTAATAAAATCTACATATATAATATAGCTTCATGTATGACAAACCACCAGCAGGTTAGGTGAAGGTTAAGACAAAACCTGCACATTCCCAATTTTACCTGCACTAAGGTGCACATGCATCCAGTATTTTGAGCCCTGAATTAT